TTCACACAAATCAATATTTAGGTATTCCATATAGTTTCACCAAAGAAAAACAGTTTAATATGTCATTAATTGTCCAAATTATTTTATTGACAAATGTTTTAACGAAATTGAAAATCCACAATTAAATGGACATAAAAATAAACCTACTGCAAAAAAAACTAAAAATGCAAAATTTCTAAATCAGAACCCTATGCCAAAATTTAAAAAACGAAAATCGTAATTTACATTACTTGCGAATAAAATAAATTGTAACTCGCGGAAACTTCAAGATCATTAAATAAAAGCACCAAAGCCTTTTGAATAGACAACAATTTTGAGACAAAACATCCAACAAAAAGGTTTGAAAACATGAATCCGGTTTGGATATTTCTTAAGAATGCAACCAAATGCAAGGCGTTTTATCTGCGGTTGAATTATTTCGAGTGAGAAACTAATAACGAAATAACTAACCTGATGATTAGAAAAACTTTAATTTGGTTAATGGGCGAGAAGAGAGACGCTCAAGGCAAACCACATATTAAAAGTTTTTATTATTAAGGCAGCCAGTCAACAAATTGTACGCATTAAATAATTATCGTCTTCCACATAAGCATATGTATATTTTCATTGGCATGGGCTGAAGGTTCTCATTGAGTTGGAGCTTATTAYAATCATCTTCACTTATAAATTTTTGCACCAGCTACCATTAGTTTACAATGGATCGYTSATAGTAATTGGTCCATATTTCCGAGGATGTGRATGAGGATGAGGATGAAAARGTGCTGACTGTTAATTMTGAGCRATACGTTGCGATGATTCAGAACTTTTTCACATCASATCTTGAACGAAAACACACTTTTTCAGCAGCACCTCGCAACAAGCCACACTGCAAAAATCTCAATAAATRTATTGACTGTTTTTTTGTTTTCGGGACGCATTATTTGTCCTATCAGGAGTGGAGGAAACGGAGGTTATTGGAGACTGAGGTAAATATCAGGAAATAAAGTTTTTTCCATTTGTATAGGAAATGGCTATTCTCTAKCTTTTTATTAATATCYTAATTAGTTAATAAARAGATAATTTTATACAATAAAATTATTTRCAAAATCTTCCCTTTTCATAAAAAAAGGCAAAATCTTCCGCTTAGTTTCTTACTTATTGCTTAGTTTCTTACTTATTGCTTAGTTTCTTACTTATTGCTTAGTTTTCTCGCCTCTCAATGCAATTGAGTAAAAGTGTTAGTATAAACTCAAAAACATGCGTAACTCCTGACCTAAAAATAGCAACAATTTCAGCAATGTATTTTCTTTAATTTTCCAAGGCTGCGTGAAGTACGTGGAACTATTCGCGATCGTAAAGCGTTTAGTGAAAATTGACACGACCGACAAGAAAATAAACATTTTGCAACCACGATGACCGTCATAAAATTGCAAAACTGTAACTATAATGAGCACGGAGGTTGTATATACTTATTTATCGTTGCCGTATGCTCCTCTTTCAACCGGTACCCACATTCAATTAAACTAATGGATTAGATCTGGTTTATTAATTCTTACAACACCAGAAATGGTCATTAATGGAACTGTTCTAAACTTTTTTCCTATTACAGATTAGTTATTTGTTAGTGACCTCAATATGCTACATGCTCGGGTTTTGATCTCTTTAGATAAAGGTCACTGATTGCTTAAGTCTTGGACTGGACCAACCTCAAGGGACCTCAAACGAGTTACTGAAATTTACTATGCGGCAATTTAATATTATACACATATTTCAAACGAGAATAATTTTTCGACACTAGAAAGACTAGAAAACATACAGAGGAAAGAGAAAGTCAGCATCATGGCCGACCTTAAGTAAAAAGCAACGAAAGAACAGTGCCAAGGAAGCCCTAGGAGAAAGGACAATAAACACAGATAAAAAAACAATTCGCCATGGTTCACCCTGGAAGTCGAGGAATTAGCAAAAGAGAAAAATAACACTTACTCACTTAACAGATCACCCAAAGAATATCGAGTCTACAAATGGGAAAGTAACAGAACAACTGATGCTATAAAGCAACTCAAAAGGACATACTGGGAAAGATTCTCAGTGGAAATAGAACATTACTTATACGGGTCCAGAAGAAGACCTGGAACATGGTACGAAAGAGAAAAAGCCAGTCAATGAGGAAGTGGTAATAAATGCAATAGACCAAGAAACGTGGGCAACATACTTGGAAACCTATCTGATAACAATAGTGAAACAGCGATGATAAAGAAATGGAAAATCGATCATCACCAGGCGAACTAGAGGAAGAAAAAAGCAGTACAAACGGCCATCCGGAAATTAAAGAACTGAAAATCTCCGGGCACTGACAACATTCCAAATGAATTACTTAAGTACGGAGGTCAAAAAATCAGAAAA